GGCATCTTCAGAGTGCAGGAGCACAGACAGGAACAGTTCTCTCTGTGCCCAGGGTGATGTGTCCCTTTTGTGGGTATTTATAGAGAATATATCTCTATAAATGTTTGGGAACACGGCCCAAACAGAACACGGCCACACAAAAATGTTTGGGAACACGGCCCAAAAAAACAGAACACGGCCACACAGCCCGGAAGACCCACACCAGCCATCATATGCCGGCCGTGAAAGCCTTTGACAATACATAGAACCAGGAGAATTAATTTAATTTGTTTCTCTCATATGAATATTCCTATGTTGGTTGATCACTGTAGTCATTAGATTTGATCAGATACACAACAGGAACTGGAATTATCTTCCCAGGACAATAAACTTCCAGTTTACTTTATGTCTTTGATCAACTCTGATGAAGACCATACAGAAACTAGTACCACTCTGTAAATAGCCACAGAATGTTTTTCCCTTTGTGTTGGCTTACTCATCAGCTAATGAACTTCACATACAAAGGAGTAATCTCTGACAGTATTATCTGTCATAGTACTTCATTTGGAACACCTTTTGGAGGTGAGATGTGCAAAATAGTTTCATAAACAGAAGTTTATTCTGTCCATGGAGCAACCAATAAACACTACCCAATTTTTCCCATGAGGGCAATTCACCCAGTCTGTTGTAAATGATAAATGGATGAACTGGGCCTTGGGCTCAGTGAAGACATTTGTGCTGTGGACTGTCTGGTCCCTTGAGAGAGCTTTGCTATTGCACGTATAAAGCTCTGCACCAGAACGTTATGTGTGGAAATGAGAGAGAAAATATATCTGATTTTCCAACAAAAATATTCATGAGTCAGGTAAGCATAGGAAATGGGCTTTTTGATATGTTATTTTTTAAAATAGGATTCTAATATTATATAACCTAATGTGCTGTATTCATTGAACAAATTCCCATCAAACTGCTTGCTAATGCAGGACCCAAACATTTCTTTATTCCCAAATAATTTCAACTGATTGGCATAGAAATGTCAGAATTCCTTCCATGTTATGTAACCCCTTAAATGTTGCATTTCAAAAAATTCTTATTTTCTAGGTGGTGCAGTGATGCTGCTGGTTTATGAATATGTTTATGCATGGCTTCAAGGAAACTGGTGATCAAAAATACTAATTTAAGACTGCAAATAATGTAAAACAGTTCCTATCAACTAAGACGTATGTGCATGAGCATTTATATGCTGAGAGAAGAAAGGGAGAGTTGTACAACAATGCGAAATGGATGGTCTTTGTTATTAAAGGCCAACAGTAGAGACTATTCTTCAGGAAAGAACGTTGATATTATATTCCAGTCCAGATGCAAGTACATATCCCACTAAGTAAAAGCTACAAAAATACTATTTTAAAAGAATAAAATGTATGTCTATCAAGCAAATTAAAAGTGTTTAATTGAGCAGTCTCTCTTTGACCGATTGATTGAACAATCACTATTAAATATATCTTTACACTATTGAGATCTTGATTTTAGACTCCAATCTTATGTTCAGATTCCTAAGTGGTTATGAGTAGAATTAAACTCAGAACTGAGTCTTTCTAAATTTAACTGGAGTTGCTATCAGGTAAGCAATTGCTATATGATTACTTGATGAAGTAAACAACTTATGTTAGGGCTATCAGACCTGGGCTGCAAACCTTCAGATGACCACTAAATGGCGGCAGATAGTTGGGTGGAGTTGTACTTCCCACAAGGGACCACATCTGTACCTTCATTACTGACTGTAAAATCACAGGTAGTGCAATGTCACTCTCTTGAGAAAGCAGTTTTAATATTAAGCACGCCCTAGTTACAGGCCAGACTATTGCATGACATGCTGCTTGGAGCTGCTATTGAAAATGACTCCAAAAATTGAGCTGATTAAAGAAATCAGTGGTTCTCGTTCTTCTTGAGGTTAGAAAGTCAAATCATGTATTACATTAATTCTGCATCAACTGTGCTGATTGCCAGCTCATGTTTTACTCAATGTGAAATACTTCAGACCTTTAAAACTCTAAGCAACATTACCATTTGCTATTTTAAAATCATCTTTGAAAGATCTGTTTGGTGACCCACCATTATGACCTTTAAGGTTGACAAGCATTAGAGAGAGGTCCTTCTTAGTGATAGCCCCCAACCCTTTAAATTTCCTCTCTAGAGAGAACAGTCTAGCTATGAAAGCCATTCTTCTTTTCTTTGGCTTCTTGTTTTATGATTTTTAATATTTGCTGTCATCAGATATTTGAAACTGCATTTTGTTTTAAATCTAAATCTAATTTGTTTTGTTTTATCATTTGATACTTCATATTACTGGTTTATAATGCAAATTGTATTCAGAAGGCTGTAATGTTGAAAGATGGCTATGAAATATAGATTAAAAAACTTATTCTCAAAATTTCAAATAAATAGAAGTGGGAATCATATTTGGATTCTTTTTTTTTAAATAACATTTTTATAATGATTTTTGTGGTATATTTTGTGCAAGAGAGATGGAGGTATCTTAGCATTTTTAAAGATATCTGTGCTGATATAAACATGTAAAATTTTTACCTAGATTATATTACACTGGCTTTTTCAAAGTGTTCTTCAGTGGTTAATGTCAACAAAATGTTTTGTTATGTAATAAGCTTTTCCAATGTAGGAATTAAATGTCTTCAGAGAAAATCAGATATTTCTCTATTATTTTTTTTCTTTATTGACTTACCATGTTCAAAATACAAAAATAAAATACTTTTTACATACAGTATATACATACATAGCTTTCTGCTGTACCTTGTTTCCAACATGTCATTAAGTATATTTTCAGCCTCATCTCTCAAGGAAATAAAAACATTTGATAGCATCCTTGCCCCAAACATATGTTATTTTTAATGACTAGAAAGGGTTGTTTTTCTGCCTGGACCTATAGCTTTTGCTGAATGTAATTGAAAGACATCAATCTCAATCATGTTCTTTAGATGTAAGTCCCACTTCTTTCAATAGGATTTCTAGGTGAGCATCCCATTCCATATTTTACGAATGGAAAAACAGATGTTCTAAAACCAGCTGGAGAAAGGGGAAACTATCAGGAGTGGTTCTTATGAACCAACTCTTGATGAAGTATCTCATCATCCTCTTTACTGCAGGTAGGAGACATAAGATTTTAAAAATTAAATGTTAACAAATTAAGTGCAGACAAGAAAGCCTCTGTAGCTGTCCCCATCTCCATCCTCAACAGAGTGGGAAGAACATGTAGATGAGTCCTGCCCCTAGCCCCATTTCTATTGTGACTACCATAATGAAAGATCTGATACTCATTAAGTTCTCTATGGGTGGAGACTGGAAGGTGACATGTGAGAAGCATAATTATCAATGAAAGAGCTAAAGTGTCAGAAAATGTCAATTGGTTCATATAGATTGTTTTGCATATGTATGAAATCAGAATCCATTGACTGATGATATTCCATGTTACACTCCAGTAAATGATGTTAATAGAAGAACCAGATATGGATTTGGGGGAAAATTGTGCAAACTCTGGATAAATGCTATCAGCGAGGGAAAAAATATGTTAGGTGACATGAATGGATGGATGGGTAGGAATGAAAATGAGAAAGTAAAGAAAAAATGATGGGGCCATTCAGAGACCTAAAAATGAATGAAATAATATTCACTAAGTTCTCTATGGTTTGAGACTGGGAAGGTGACATGTGACATATGAGAAGTAGTATTGCCTAAGACTCATGAACACATACATTACACACATTTTCCATGTCAGCTTGACCTCAGTCTTGTTGAGGTTGGAGAAAATACGTTCCATGGAACTACATGTGGCCTTTAGTAAACAGATGTGCAGCTCCAGCTGAATGTAAACAGGATTCCTGCCTATTCAACAAGGTTTAAATATGTGCCCACATTTATCTGCATCATCAACATGTGCCAAATTTCAGTTTTAAATATTTCAAAAAGCTTTAAAAGGAGAAGAGAACTATGTAGCTCAGGGTTGAACTGCAGAGTCCTTGGGTTTCTCTGAACTTAGTTGTCCCAACCAAGCTCAGAGGACCCCAAGGACTCCACAGTTTAAAAGGAGAGAATGTATGTCCTACAAGTAACAATGTTAATCTTCTACTCCCTTTAAAATTTCAGTTTATCTCTAGCCCACTTTCTTGAACTAAAGGGAACTACAATCAGGGCAATAGTACCAGCCTAAGCCATTCATCTGGAATATGTGCCAACAAAATCAGTAGGATTTGTTTCCAAGAGGGGGTTATAATTTAAGTGAAACATTTAGAAGCACCCATACCTATGTGAGAAATCTCAGTAATATCTCCAATCTTTATCCTTCTCAAAATATCTATAACATTTTATTTTTAATGTTTCAAAAATGATTGATGATTTGGATTATGAAAATAATTGAGTCACGGTAATAGCTTTATTTTAAAATTTGAACTCACTTGCTTTTTCCTTCCCTCTTGAGATCACTTTTATTTAGATAAGAGTGGTTCTGGGTGTTGAAGTTCAGCTTTCATCATTCCTGACTCTTGAGCATCCTGGCTGGAGGTGAAAGCTGTGTCCAACATTATCTGCAGGATCACAAGTGCCCCACCCCAATTTAAAACCTTTGGCTTAATATGTTCTCCACTAGCCTAGTAAAATGATAAAAGCCAACTGAGCTGCCATAATTGAGCCTTACAGTTTGTCTCCTATGTATGTCTTAAAATAATTATTTTCAGGCAAAGCTAAACTCTTCAAGATAACATCAAGTTCAAATCAATTTGAAAAGAAGCAGAAGAAACCAATTATAGGTAGTACATCAACTGATCATTTGCTGTGAACACAGCATCATTGTCAACATTTGGCCTATTAAACTTGCCTCAAGTTATCTGCTGACAGCCATAAGGTTATCAAGATTTGACCTTCTATAGAAGAATGCAGCCAATATAAGCAAACAACGTAATTCATTTATATTTCCATAAGATATAAAATTGCTTTAAATATTCTTTATAGACACTCACAGGACTCACAAAGTATTCCAAAATGTAAAAACAAAAAAGGACAGAAAGAATATTTTAATCAGGAATGGAAACATTGATTTTAAGACAAGTGCTTAAAATTCATATTATATCTCTTTTCATAATCATGTAAACATGCCATCTTTTGTATTTCTTCAGTATTTGGAATTTAAATAAACGAAAATGGGGATTCAGGTGGCATACAAGTTTATTATTATTTTAAGATAGTGTATTAATGTGGAGCCTTGAAAGGTTTGATCTCAGGAAGAAACCAAACATGACCTCTGCTTTTAGTTTACATTTCAATTAAGTATAGCATAAGTCTGATTTTAAACTTTAAAAATTATATTTATAATTTCAATTTATAAGGCCACCCCAGCACAAAGCCATCTCTGGGTGATGTACACTTAAAAACAGGACAATACCTAAAAACAGAAAAGGGGGGGGGGGGGAGGAACATCACATAATGGGGGGAATGCATATCACAACCCAAACAACAAAATACATCAAATGGGCACACAACCAACTTATCGCGGAGTTTGGACAAAAATCCATGGTTTTCAAAGAATGTCTAAGGGCTTGTAGGGCCAGACCCATGCAAATCTCTAGGCAGATGCTACTCCAGAGGGCAGGCACCGCAACAGAGAAGCTATACCACTTCCTAGGTTCCATCAGATGACACTGCTTTAACAGATGGGACACAAAGTTCACTCATCCTGTAGGAACTTATGGAGTGGGCAGAAATGACGTGAAAAGCAGTCCCTCAGATAATAGCATTGAAACTTAAAAACTAAGACCAATTTATCAGCATTTTCTGTGGGAAATGGTTAGGAGGAGGGAACCTTGCAGATTTTATCCAAGGTCTACCAGCAGCAGATGGCAGGGCCCCACTTGTCCCTTGAAGGCTTCTGAACCAGCCAAGGACTGTCATGGATAGAATGAAAACAGAAGAAACTTTAGATGATGGCTATTATCTCCTGCCATCTCTCCCTTCTGGAAGTTAAGGAGCCTCCAGAAAATGAAGGAAAAAGAACTGGTAGATGGACAAAGAGGCAGGTTGCTTCCTTCTCATTTTTTTACAGGGAGGAATTTTGAGTAGAATTCCAATCCTCACCAGGATTGGAAAAGAACTTGAATCCAAATCTGGCTTGTACCAGTACGATAATTTTTTTGTTCTATATTTATCTCTTCACCACCTAGAATTTTGTGAGATATTGATAAGAACTATATGGAATAAGAATTCTCTTTGTGTATCTTTATGTATAATCATACTAAATTATACATAATACATACTAAATTATACATAATACATAAATATGTATTATACATATACACCAAATAAAACTTTGCTGAAAGAGTGGCTATGTAGAGGAGTGCTATTTTTGAGCAAAAATAAGTGTGAGTCAGGCTTATCCAAATACAAATAACTGTCATTGGGGTCTACACTCCCATTTTTACTGTAAGCATGATAATGATATTTTTATTCATTTATTATCTGTCTTTCCTTTAGTCAGCTCAGATCAATATATGATCTTCACCTTCTCTGTTTATTTTTCAAAACATCATAAAGTCCCAAGTGAGTTTCAAAGGTAGGTGATAATTTGTGCTCGGCCCCCAATACTAGTTTGCAGTTCTATTCTATACTTGTTTGCCATACTGGAAATCCCATTGAATTCAGGGAGGTTTACTTCTGCACAAACACACGAGAATGCACTGTTAAACCACTCCTTCTAACCATGCAAAATGTGCAGGCACATGCTTCTGTCACATGAATCACTTCCCTTTGTGCTTGACTATAAAACTAGATTATTGTTTAATGTTTTTGATTACAATGAAAGAAAGGGAGCTCAGTGGTCTAACACTTGCTTAGACTGTAAGATGCTGCAGGTCCAATCTCTGGGGTCTGCATCAAATAATAGACATGACCATTGACTACATGAGGCCTTGAAAAGTTGTTGCCAGCCAAGTCAACAGTGTTGGACTAGATGAACAAATAGTCTAAAATCTCAGTTCTAGCTAGTACTTAACCCCCATTATCTGAAGGTTTCCAGCTGAACATCTGCCTTAGTCCTATAGTCAACAGGGACAACATCAAGCTCAAGATGATTGATACCATAAAGCAGTACTCATTCAACACCATGGGTTGCTTCTGCATGTCTAGTTTTGTTGAAATGAAGAGAATGGGTCATGATGACATAATAGCTGCAGCATGAGTTGTTTACATTTGACGAGAAAAACGAATTCTTGAGGGATCATTTGGGAGGACTCCATGACACAGCAGCTTTGCCCCACTTGTGAGAAATTCAGAGATCTGCAGCACTGACTTATGATGCATGGGCAAGAGTTGCCCTAAGAGGGGGCTTTTTGATTATGCTTACTCTCAAGCAGGTACCAGTCAATTCAAGAAAGCTCAGTTTCAAATGAGTTGCAAACAACTGCAGCCTAGCTCCAAAATACTAGTCAAAAGAACTATTCTGCTAAATAAAGTAAGTCTGTAGCTGAAGGGATTATGATCCCCAGGGTAACAGTGCTTTTATTTAAGGATTCCACAGAAGGGCACCATGTATTTCAAGCAATTGCACTTCATTCAGCCCTTACAAACAAGCTTGTACTTAGTCTCTCAGCAATTGGTTCTGTGAAAAGAAAACGGGAACCTGGAAACTGTCTGCTCATACTGATTACAGCTTGTGAATATTCTCTTTTCAATCTATGTCATGATTAAATGATTGCAGTAGGAAAATATTTTGGAACATTTTCCAGGAAGTCTCAACATGACATCACACATTATTTCCCTTGTATTGCCTTAGAAATTTACCTTTGTTGACATTTTAAAATAAAAACATGATATTCTCATAAAACAGACAGGATCTTATCTTATTCTCCCAGCAGTATGCTTATGTGTAATATGGCTAGGAAAAAAGTGTAGATAATTTTATTAAGCAGTCTTTCAAAATCTGTATTGAATGATGTGTTTTTACAGTATTGCACTAGACTTACAAAAATACATAATATATTAATATTTAATCATGCTAGGAGATATGTCAGTTTTCAAATCTTTCCTTTTCATGGTTATCTTCAACACACATTGGCAAGCTTGAGCAGGCTTTCCAAAACTATATTCACAACTTTATTATTGTCCAAGGAGAACAGACCATCTTGAAAAGATTATACTGGAAAAAAATATAAGAGAGCAATTGGAATCCAAGTGGCCATGAAATGATGCTTGATAAAGGATACAGAAATGAAAAAAGATGAATATTGTTAACATTATAAATAATATCTGTAGTACCACCACCAATATGTCTATGAATGAAACATGCTTATGTACAATAATGTAAACTTTACCAAAAGCCTAGTTTTGTTTTACATTCAATAAAACGGGAATTGAAGACATTTTTTCTTCTTTCACTTTTAAAAATGGCAACATAATTTGGGGGGCTGAAATTACTGAACTCAGGTAAGCCAAGAAATTACAGTACAATTTGCTTTCACAGTGGTTTCTTAACTTGCATCATAATTCACCCACCTTCTGCCCAAGCACCCATTGAAAGGAATTGGAGGTACAGAACAGCTCTATTGTGGATTCTGCCCTGGGCTTATTAAAAATCTCTGCCCACAATTTCACATTAAATGTAAGCTTCCATTTTGTTCAGATCTTTTCCATCATGTCTCTTTCATATCAGTGTGATGCTATTATGAATGTAGGTGATTAAGTACCATATGAAAAATATCTTCCCTGTACAGTATACCCAGAGAATGTCAATCACTTTCAAGTGCCACTGAAATGAATGGACTGATATACCAGTGAGTAAATTTTGATCATAGGATGCTCCTGCTGGAGGAAAAAGGGAACATTAGCTTTGCTGAGTCTACCTCCTTCTACAATTCACTGTGTCTTTTACAAAGCTATTCCAAATGTTGGGAGACTCTATAGAACAGAATAGAATGGGTGATTGTGACACAATTTGTGTTGCTTAATTTTTAGCAGCAGTTTTCACTGAACCCCAGTGCTTTCTGCAAACAAAAGGCACCCTTCCATTTGTGAAAGAAATTCTCTGAATTCAACCCACTAGGAATATAGAGTTACAGGTAGTCCTCATTTAGCAACTGCCTCATTTAGCAACCATTCACAGTTACAACAGTGATAAAAAAAGTAACTTTGTGACCGATCCTTGCATCTATGACTTTCACAGGTCTGTAAAGCAAAGAAAACCTGACCATAAACACAGTAACGGTTTCACTTAGCAACTGCTTCGCTTAATGACTGAGTTGCTGGTCCCAATTATGGTCACTAAACAAGGACTACCCGTACGCACTTTAGGTTCTCTGCTGGAAAAACCAATGCTTTTCAATGAACTTCAGGTGCTTTCAGGTGCTTTCATCCTATGCCCCAAACACAGGATTATCTAAACGTGAATCATTAAGGCAAATGGCATTACCAAGAAGAGAAACAGCAAATTGGTAGGACATCCTTTCCCATTTTGGCAATCTCTGAGTGAATTGGGAATGCAAGTCATGGAATTCCCAGTCAACGTTCTGGAATTGCAATCCTAACACTACTGAAGGATGCTAAAGTGGGAAAAGCTCAACTAGGATGTCACTACTTGACAACAAAAAGAAAAACAGAATTCAGTTGACTAGTGGAAATGCAGATGATAACCAAGTCCATATTTACAAAGAGAAAACAAAAACATTACTGCCTTTGTGATCACAATAAAATACAGGATAAATAACAGAGCCATGTATTCATTTGGTTCTATAATTTGTTACTATAAAACACAAGCTGTTAGCCACAACTACTATTTATCTGTCCATACTTTTTTTCCACAAGAATTATTTTCTGATCCAGAAGTCAATTTCTATTTGATTGCATTTGTTGGTCTATTGGGTTTCCTTGACTGACTTCTTGCAAATCTGGAACAATTGCACATTTGAGAAAGTCCTGTTGGTTTAAAATAAATATGTGTGGTTTTACCAATGAAACAGTCATACAAGCCCTCTGAGGGTTGTCAAATCTTCTTTATGCAGAACAGTGCAAAGGGAGGCAAGACATTTATCCCTTCCTTATGTTATTTACACTTACCAAAGCCCAATTATTATTTGTTTTTTAAGCACAATATCATGGCAAAAAGGTTCCAGCCCATTGGGTCAATCTGTGAGGAGGAATTGTGGGGCAAGAGAAAAAACACTGGACTGGACTGGACCAGATGAAAATTGTTCTGCCGTACTTCCAATATCAGAGTGCAGAGGCGGTGATGGAGTGACTACCTTCTCTGGCTGCCTGCATGCCCTTGAAAGCCAGTGAAGCTGGAATATCACAGTTGTGGGGTGAAAGTGGAGTGCCCCCAGCATGCTGCCAGCCGTGACTAGCTACGTAACCAGAAGGAGCAGCACTGTACGCCATATAAGGGGACACCTGTGCTGCTGTAGGATAAGGCGCCATTGTTGGTGCAGAGACAAAACTTCCGACAGTTGGAAGGCAGCTTGGTGCCTAGAAAAGAAGAAGAAGAAAAAAGAGATGACCGCTGTTTTTTGAAAAAGGAAAAAGAATGAAGATTCTAGAAAGTCTTCATTAATGTAAGACTGCTTTCAGAGATGACATTTTCAGCTCTCCAAGATAACAGTGAAGAACCAAGATACAGTAAGGTAAAAGCCTAAAGACTCTTGTGGGCAGGGGGGGCGGGGGCAGGTTGGTGCTTTCAAGCCAGTCTTGGCTCTTGGCAACTGCCTGGACCAGTCCCTGCAGTTTTCTTGGCAAGATTTCAGAAGTGGTTTGCCACTGCCTCCTTCCTAGTCACCCAGCTGGCTTCATGCCTAAACTGGTCTCCTTGTTTCTAGCCTGGTACCTTAACCGCTACACCAAAGTGACTCTCTGGATTCATTTTAAGCATCCCCAGATGCAACTGGGTCAAATTTTTTCAGACCAGGTTAAAAAAAAAAAAACATCTAAGAAGCAAACATAATAGCTTATACATGGCAGACCTTAAGGAATCTATGGTGTTCCTCAAAATCCCTCAAAACCAGAGAAAATCAGCCCAGTTCTTAGAGTCTTCAGTGGTCCAATGAGTGCCACAAACCTCTACAAGGCCATGTTTTTTAAAGTAGTTAAACATTTCCTCTTTGCCCCCACTGGCAAGTTCTGATGAGGAACCTATGGCCAAAGATTGCTAACCCCCTGATATGAGAGGATGTCCTTTTTTTGTTCTCTTTCACAAACTGCTACAAATACTCTCTGATAATTTAACTTTGCATCACATTTCTTTCTTCCTTAAACTTCCTATATGATCAACAGATTATGTAGCCCTCTACCCAAGTAATTAGGACATGCCTGCATCAGAACTTCCCACACGAATGGCAGAATAGCTGGGTCAAAACCAGCAGGATTATTCCATCATTCCTTTACCTTATTGTACCAAGTTAAGACCCACTGCATGTTACAGAGCTTCTCCCTTGCCAATTCAAAAAATCCTTGCTATGGGAAAATGGTTGCATTCCAGTAAACAGTAGTGGGAAAGGCCGAAGAAAAAACTTAATAACAATGCATATCAGATTTTAAAATGTTTCATTTCCAGATTATTTTAATAGGGCATACCATACTCAGAGGCATCATTAGCATTGCTTGTGAAAACAATATAGGGCTGTGCTTTAGGATTTTCTCAAAGAGTGGCCATAAAATTGCCCTCGGTCTTGCTCCTACAGAGTTCCATTTGACAAGCCACATTTCAATTAATGGGAGCTGAGCAAGAACACTGCCGAGCTCATTTCTTTGGAATTTGAGCTGGAGAACTTTCCAATAGCTTTTCTGCCTTCAGAACTGAGCACTGCTGGAAAAATTTCCAATAGCATGAAATTTAATCCCTGTAAATATTAAGATGTATATGCTGGAAAAATAAAATATTCAGAGCAAAGACATGCAGACGCATACAGAACAACAACAAAACAGGGGTGGGGGGAATTATCCTGTGTGGCATGCATTCAAGTGAGGATGGGGGCCATTTTGCAATGATATGAAGAATGGACCTGCTTCGTTTAAATTTATTGTAGTGCTTTGTGAATTCTACAGAAATATACCTAAGGCTGCCTTCTTACACAAAGCTAGGAGAGAGTGCTTAACCTCCAGCTCCCACCACTTGTTATTCTGTCCAACAAGCCTAACAAGCATCAATAATAGCCCTATAGTTTTTGAATTCTCACCTCATGAGGTTTGAATGAAACAGACCCAACCAGTCCCTGAGTTGGTACCAGAACCGTAGTTCAGCTGCTCCTACCCCCCGCCCCACCCCACAGACTTTCAGTATACGGGCTGCTACTGAAGTTTTCTCTTAAGACAACAGAGCCTTATTCCATTGGGCTTTTTTAAAAAGATGCCTCAATGACAGAAGCAGTTTGCTATGCGGGATATGTGGGTGCTTTTTAAAACTTACATGCACTTTGCTCCATCTAAATAATACTAAATCCCTCTATTATCACCAGGGCTGACACCTTGTGCCTGAGGCAAAGCAGAAAATGTTGCCCCCTCCCACCCCATTCAAAATGCAGAAGCAACTGTTGTACCTTACTTCAGCTCTTGAATGGGAGAACACACACATACACACACACTAATTCAGAGCTGCAGGGTAGATCATAGAGCACGTGTCCTTCCACAGAGAGGAAATGGTTGAAGGGCTCTGAAGGAATGGCTGGAGGCCTCGTCCACAACCCATTGCATCTGCCAGCTGAGGCAGTTGGCTCTTTCTGTCAAACAGTAGGGTTGGATCTGGCAGTCACAACTTTGCTCCACTTTGGACATATTTCATGCACACACCCCTCACAAGCATGACCTGTAAAATGTTGCTAATGTAGGATATAACGTTGGAGAGACAAATGATTAAAACAACCTACATCCTGGCTTACAGAGGGTATTATAATCCAACGTTTCATTCAAATATCACTTTTGAGAATGGCCAAGTACCCTAGACATTGGCATGTTCACTTAAAGCAGATTCCATTTAATTACTCCCAAATAAATCCACTCCCATTAGAACAACAACACTTGTCAGGAAAACATGAGATATTCTTACAATTTGGGCTACATGGGTTAATAGAGGAGTTGAATTCCATTTATTAATGTGACACTTTGTACAAGAACTACATTCACTTGAGAATGAAATGAAGGGGATTAAATTCAAGAACCCTATATATATTGGGCCAATAATTCATCTAGAATATTTCAGTTGAAGGAAATGAATACCAAAATTCAAAATCAGGAGCTGAGAGAACCCTGTGGTGTTTATGGATTTTGAAGGTACTTAGAAGTCTTTTCTTAAGTGCTGGGTTTTCAGAAACACTTTTTTAAAGTTCTGTAAATATTCTACCATAATTGAAGCCATTGTTTATAAAAGGAAATTGAATTATTAAAGATCTGTTTGTAGATGAATAGAATCTATAGTCTCTTTTTGCCCAATATCTAAGAAGCAAAATCCACAGGGGAGATATGTTGAATTGTTTCAACTGCTCAGAATTAATGTTTTGTAGAAGTCCAAAGAAAGTGGAACTTCAGTAGAGAGAACACTCTTCTCCTTTTTCATGGTTTGTCTGTTTAGCAAAATGCATTTTTACAATTTTGTTGTAGCTGACTCAAGAGTTACAGTGCAAACAGCCTGCAGTGGGAGTTACCCCTCAATTACGCCAATTTAATCAAAGCAGAGAGAGGGCTCAGACCTGTAAACAGAATTAACATGAGTTAGGTTCCCCACCCATGCACATAAGCATTGTATTAGGGAAACTGGAGGAACTTCCATCTATCTGCTGAAAACTGGGAATGTCAGCCTTCCTGGAAACTGCTGGCCATAGATTTAATGTATGCATTTATGTGTGGGACCAAGATGGCACCAATGGTCTAGCAACCAGTCGCCTGATGCATTCATATTATTAATTTAATTGTGAATGCAGCAGGTTCACAGTTCTTATCACAAGGGCCTTATAGTGTAAACTATCATGTTGAAACAACCGAGTGAGAAAAGATGGCAGGGGGAAGCAGCAAAGAATATATCTCAAAGCATGTGAGCTTTGTGGAGGGCCTTAAAGAATTAAGTCAGATAGTTGCACAGAGGCTATCTCAGAGTCTTCCAGACATAAGAGATGGAAGAAGTCCTAGCATCAGCACTTGCTATGCTGACCAAAAATGAGGGCCTACCTGTTCTTTGGGGTTATTATCCAGAATTATTAGCCTCAGATCTACCATGATCACTTTTCCCTTCCCTGCCCTCAGATGTACTTAGGCAGCAGCAGAATTTCTGGATGAAGATAAAGGCTTAAATCTACTATTAAATCAGCCACCATCTTACACTTTCTGCATTGGATGCTAATATTGGGCATTACATTTTCTTAAATCTAAGATAACAGCAGAGTGATCTTCAGTATTCAGTGTTCTTGGGCATTCTCCTAAGATGGTCCTAAGGTCCTAACACGCTTGCCCAACAACAGAGTGACATTGCTATGGTGGAGATATGACACAAACTGGAAATTTGTGTTGTGGAACATCATCTTTTAAAAATACTGTACTCTGTATATGTGCAGGAGTATTGTACTTGATTGAAGGGTAAGGCATGGATTTTAACTGTGGGTTTATTTTTTTCCACTTTGGACCTAGCCACAGGGTGTTTTGTTTTGCTTTGTTTTTTTTAAGTTCTGGGGACAGGACATTTCACTGTATTGTTTCAATCTGCTAATCTGATTCCCAAAGTAATGTTAAAATGTTCTTTTTGGCTAAAGAAGGAACAAGCCTTAATTAAATCTGCATGTTTAGCTAAGTAATTAGTTGTTGGCAAGTATATCTCAAAGGCAAATATCCCTGGCTGATTGGACTTAACAGATCCTCTAGCCTGGTGCTTATCCAACTGAAGGAAGGTTTCCCAGTTTAAGAGTCAGGAAAGAGAATGGCACACATGTTTGAATACTAATCATTTTTCTTTTCTCTTTTCCCCATATTGACATCATCCTTTCATTCCAGGAGTAGGATGGTCTTTGTTTTATTGGGCCAGTGCCAATCAAAGGTTCTCAAACTTTGTTTTCTTTGTTGGGAGACCTATAGTTGGGGTCCTAGAAGCCATCAGCCATTCACTTGCCAACTACATTTGGGCACCCTACATTTCTAGCCAAGGAGAACAGATGATCCAAAGCCCTGGAGCTTTTCCATCATTTTTTTCCCTCAGAAAAAGAATGAGCAATAGAAATTGGATGCTGACCAGATAAAGAAATGCAAAATGCTGTCTCATGGAAGCCTCACTCGTTCCAGCAATAATAAAGGCTCTGGATACCCATGAACAAAGGCCCCCACTCTTTTTCCACCAGGAAACTAAATTTTTTCTTCAATGGGGCAAGTGCAGGACAAGGATCTTGGAGCAGCACAGAGCGTTGCACCTCTATTATAAAACTATTTTCAGTTTAGGCAACTGCCAAAGGGCCTGATATAGACAATCCAATGGAACTAAAGAGGAGATAATGTTTGAA